TGCAATTTTTAGACTTATTCAAAGGAGCTGTAATATGAATCCGTCTATGGTGAGCAAAATTGGTGCAAAAATGGTAAATAAGCAAGTATATATTCACAATCTTAGCTCTACCAGTTTCCCTTTTTAAATGACGAAGACTACTGCCACCTGCTGTTATGGAGAGTTATTTCCTCTTGCACAGAGGCAGAATGTATATGCTAGTTAGCTGATGGCTGTAGTCTTTGCCTTGTGTTCAAGAGCAACTTTTTGGCCCAGATGCAGGTGACACCACAGTCTGCTTTTGTCACCGCTAGTTCTTTGATGTTGGTTTGGTGTGTCTGGGCCTTAATGGTGGAGCTGATACTCTTATAGTCCTGACTATAGGCTGTACATATGGGTTCGTCTAAAGTTTTGTTGATCTCACAAGATGCTCTGAGAACTGTTTAGATCCATGTCACCCAAAGCAGTCCTCATGTCATTCCCAACTCATGTTTTCCTTTTATTGTGGAGTGCAAAAGTGGATATTTAGAAGAATGTTTACACTGCTGTTTTTCCATATAGTCCAAGATCCAAGATGGACAAAAAAAAAAAAAAGACCAAAAAAAAGTATGTGCGACTGCATTCTTTATGGCAATACTAGGGATGTAACGATTCACCGCAAGCCGGTTGAAAATCGATACAAATATGTGACGATTCAAATTGGTTAAACGAATGTTAAACCAGTCGCGTTGCATTTGGGGGTGGGAGTTTATATGAATGTATCTATGAGGGGAACTGACTGTCTTTAGAAAAGTTTAGATGATATTTTCTTTTCATCTCGTCTCTGTATAAGTCATATTAAAGCAGCGTTCATAAGCACTGCGCTGCTTTGTTTACAGTGGAAACCAAGGAAACGCTGTATCGCTGCTGTTCCATAAGCGCCTCCTGCTGTCAGAGTGAATCTGCATCTCATTCAGAGCTTGTGCTCTTTGTTTCGTGCAGCTGTTTTATGTGGTATAGTTTCACAAAACTAAAGTCAGAGCATTCTGTTTTTGTTTTAAAATGTCAAATTATGCAATCTAATTTAGATTTAAAAAATGCTTATGCTTCATGTATTCAGCATCTTTGTTTGGATTGTGATTCAAATGCAGTGGTTGCCTCTAATTTTAAATGGAAAGAGCACAGGTAGCCTTTGTTTATATGAAGATATTTTTTTTTTGCCTTATTTATTTATACATCAGGGGTTCAACCATAATTTTACGAAGCTACGACAATACTTTTTGATGTCGCGTGGATTATTTTACCGATCTCCTTGCCACGTTTCTGGACCTTGATCGTGGTAATTACATTGCTGTATATGGGAGGGTCAGAGAGCTCTCAGAATTCGTCAAAAATATCTTAGTTTGTGTTCCGAAGATGAACGAAGGTCTTCCGGGTTTAGAACGACATGAGGGTGAGTAATTAATGACAGAATTTTCATTTTTGGGTGAACTATCCCTTTAACTTGAAGATATTATGATAGAAATTTATTACTATTTTTTGCTATCATGTACTTCTCAAAGTAATCATAATAATAATAATTGTAAGGAATATCATACATCATAACATAAAAATTTAATATTTTGATAATTGTTTATCATTTTTGTTCATTGTTAATTGTTATATTTTCATTTGATTACATTTTAAAAGATTGATTAAATTGTTAAAGTTTTATTAATTATTTTCATTACACACCTTTTTTGATGATACATTTGTATTAAATCATAAAACACACACACACACACACAAAGTAAAACAGAGAATTTAGAGAGAAAAAAATAGACTTAATGTTTCCCTAAATTAAAAGAGAGTTCAATTGTGAACAAACAAGTTGTTTACATTCATTCTAGGTCTAACAAACATGTGGAAAGCATTTCCTTTCCCATTAATGGTAAATGAATATTGTGATAAATATCGATATTGTATGATTTTGAAAAAATATTGTGATTTTTGGCCATAGGGCACAGTCTTTTGATGAATGGAAAGAGCAGCCAAGCCATTCTGTTAAGCATCTCCTATGGGTCATATGGTTTGGAATAACATTACGGTGAGGAAAGAATGATCAGTTTGGTTTAAGGGTCATTTAAGGATGTGGAAACTTTGTTCGAAAGTTAAGAAATGTTTTTACATGAACCCTCTTTCAACCCTGTTAAACAGTAAGTTGCATGTTTTCCTTTAACTGTCATCCTCTGAAGTGAATTGTGAGTCTGGTCTTTGACCATTGATCGACTTGAGTTAAAACTTAGCTATAAAAGGTTTATTTTAAATTTCTCACTTTCTCCATTTGACTTAGACTGTCTATTAATTAGAATTTTGGAACACCAGGTCTTCAGATTTATTTCCAAATAAAAGCACATCATTTCAATGTCATGTCCTCCTACGCTTCCTCACATCTGAAGTTTTGTGGAAAACAAACAAGTTTGACATGAGCATTAACTCTTAATGATAGTGCCTACTCCAAGTTACCTACTCTTTGCTGTTGTCTACCTTTCTTGTAGCTAGTTAAAAACCGTAAAGATTGGTCTACAAGTTGGGCCATCGCTTGAATCTATATGGCTAAGAACAATGTCCATGGGACCCTCAAGTGTGGCTAGCTTAGTATCTGTCTTTAAAACTTTGCCATGCAGATTTTATAAAATATGTGAATCATACATTTCATTTGTAGAGAAACTTTTTTGGACTCCGAAACTCCACCATTCAGTACTGTAGCTCTTTCCTACACATTTTTTCCATAGACTGTCAGGTTAATCTACGACAGCGTTGACAAAGTGGTTTAGTCACATGAATGCTCGGTAGATTTAACACTAAACAGAGCTGTCTGTACAGGTTTTTCACACCAGGTTTCATCTGAACTAGGGCTGCCACTAACGAATATTTTTATTTCGATTAATCTATCGACTAGTTTATCGATTAATCTAAACGGTTAATTTCCCACACAAAAAAAAAAAACTATTTTACTTAAGAATATTTTATTAAACTATATTTCATTAAACCAAATGAAATCCAAAAGTAAAAAAGTAAAGTGCAGCATAAAGTGCAAGAAGCAAGTGTCCATCTCATAGTCCAAATCACTGAAATCAAAGTTCAGTATTATAGTGTAAGAATGACAACATATCCACGTGTTCTAGTCTACAAATTATAAAATTATAATCAAAAAACACTTTTTAAAGGAGTATTTACCAGAAATATTATTTACCAGAATTTATTTAGGAGAAAAATGTAAATGTGCAGTATTTCTGAATTTCTTTACATTTTTAATAAAATCAATTAATTGGAGATGCTTTTGATTATTAAAATTTAATTAAAGGGGCCATATGATGTTGCTAAAAAGAACATTATTTTGTGTATTTGGTGTAATGAAATGTTTATGCGGTTTAAGGTTCAAAAAACACATTATTTTCCACATACTGTAC